TTGTCTTGGTAATTGTGAATTTTATGACTAAAAAAAATTAATCATATTGTACATATGTGATACTTGGATACATGTGTATAATGTGCAGTGATCAAATCAAAGTAATTAGCATATCCATCACCTTAGGCATTTGTCATTTCTTTGTTTTGGGAACATTTAACATCCTCTCTTCTAGTTATTTGAAAATATATATGTATAACTATTATCTGCCAATTAAAAATAAAAATTTTAAAAAAATTTTTAATTCTTCCCTGTGGAGTGGGGGATCTCATGGGAACTCATTCTTTTTTGAACTCATGATGTCATAATGTATAATTTTTCAGTGACTGATTCTTTATATGTGTACATCTTCCTTAAGAAGAGGTCTACATATTCATGAATAAGCATGCAATCATATGTACATGATAAATAAAAGAAGTATTTAATTGACAAAAAATACTAATCAGCCAGAAATATATGCCTGAACTGTCAAATGAGCCTAGGAGTGGGACTGCTTATAGGTCCAACTATTAGGAATCAATAACATGACTCTCAGTACACTTGCTTGGGACAGAGACCAAACTTGATTTCTTCTAGTTAACTTACAGGGAATTGAGAACATACTCAGAGAAATTCAGACAGAGAAACTAAAATTTACTGAAGTGGGAGTTCAGAACCTGTCCTGTGAAGAAGAGACATTGAGTTGACATTATTTAGAGTTGACATTATTTAGTCAAGACATAAGAAAGTGAATAAAAGATGACTTGATCCTGCCCGTTAGATGGAAGGATTTTAGAAGGTTTGGATTGATTTTCCTGTCTAGGAAAGACCGTGATATAAGCATTAGGCTCTACTTTATTTTTGCTAACAGTACTTATACCACTAGAGGAAGGCGCTGTATGATATTAAAAAGAATTCTTAGCAATTGACTGGAGATGAAATTATGCAGGAAATTTCTTTAGCTAGAAATTGTCTAGAGACTATAATACTCTGCCTGGAATAGTTAGAACATTCTGGGGGAATGAAGATAGTTAGGACAGATGACTTTGGGAATCTTTTAATCTCAGATATTATGTATATTGTTATTGAAAGGAGGTTATAGGCAAAGAAAAATGTAAGTATAAAGGAAAAAGCTCAGCCCTTTCGGTTACTTGTCAGACAGTTTCACCTTAGAGATACTTATTAAGTCATTTCATATTGTGACTGCTCTTTCCTTATCTGTTAGAAGATGGTAGAGAGATCACTTCTCCAAGTAGATACTGTCATACTGCCCAACCACCTGTATTTGTCTGACCAGAAACTATGTATTTCACTTCGTAAGTAATTTCTCTTGCTGTTACTTCTGTTGAGAAACATCTTCCTAATCTATCATGGGCAGTGACATTGTCATTGTCTTCTGGAAACCTACATTCTTGTACTAACAGCTCCCTGTGTATGATTTCCAGTTTAGAGGGTTCTCCTGAGATGCTGCATGTTTCCAGTTTGTTCTTGTTCCAAACAGCACCTTCATGAGGAACAGTCGGATTAAATTAGTTAATCCATATAAAATTCTTAGAACTTCCTGGCACAGAATAAACGCTCAGTGAGTGGTCACTATTATTATTGTTCTTTCTCTATTTCATGTTTGGCTTCTCTGTGTATGTATATGTATAATGTGTGTATACATGTGTGTGTGTGTGTGTGTGTGTGTGTGTGTTTGTGTGTGTGTATACAGAGTATATATATATATAGTATATATTTTCTATATATATTGTATTAGTCTGTTTTTGTTGCTTGTAACAAAATACCTGGGTTCATAAAGAAAATCAAAATTTATTGCTTACAGTTTCTGAGGCTGGGAAATCCAAAGTCCATCTCGTGGTGGCATCAGTGACCCAGGGGTCTCACATTGCAAGATGGTGGAAGCAGAGAAACCAGAGAGAGCAGACAGAGGGAGCAAGAGAAACAGACTCTTCTCTTAAAGCCCTCCGAACCACACCCCTGACCACCATTTTTAATCCATTCACTACTGCAGGGTCCTACAATCTGATCACCTCTTCAAGGCTCCACCTTTCAATTACCATAATGGGATTTCCCACCCTCTTAACAGTCACAGTGAGGGCTAAGTTTCTAATACATAAAACTTGGGGGACAAAATTAAAGCTTGAGGGGGTTTTGGGGAGACATAATCCAAGCCTTTGTGTGTGTGTGTGTGTGTGTGTGTGTGTGTGTGTGTATCCCTGTTGCTCAGTTTTAAGAAATAAAGGGAAGTGTAGTAGGCCAATTTGGTTGGACTTAAGGAGAAGAACAAATGCTATCATGCAGAAAGATTATAGTAACTTCAAAGTACAGTTTTGGAAAATCTCTTTAAATCTAACCAATGCACAATGGAAAACCCCTAAAGAACCAATCTAATTATTCAATTAAATGGGACCGTTAAATGCTGACTTTTACTACAGAAGGCAAGCATAATTTAGAAAATGGGGCATTTTAATTCTCTTTTGTTTTCCAATTAACTCAATTGCTCTAATAGGGAGTACTCGTGCTTAGATATATGTTTTGTGAGTATGTATTCTGTACATATTTTCAGTCTCTCCCTCTCACCAAAGACTAAGATTCTCACCTGTTGACACAAAGGTTTATTTATTACAGTCCTCATGTTGCCCAGATTGTGGCCTCAGAGCAAATATCTTCCTGCCATCAAAGCTGACCTGGGCAGCACAAGCCCACCATGCAGCTCTGCCTTCCCTGCCAGGGATAATTAGGATGTTGAAGTAACGGAGCTCTCACTTTTTTGCTGATGCCAGCTTACCACAACAGACCACATGAGTTTACTCTTAGTTAAAAGTGGTAAAGAAAATGCTAAGAACATTCATTTTAATTGGTCAACATTATGTGGACTTTAGTGCCACTAAAGTTTTATAGTCCTGTGTTTGAGATTTCTTTCTGCCACCCGCTGTCAGCTTATTATGACAGATACTTGCTTTTGATTATTCTTTTGATTATTATTTGATTATTGATTATTATTTGAAAAGTTTAAACCTCTTCTGTTATCATATTTAGGTAACAATTTCATCTGCCCTAATATTTATTAAATTATCTATAATAGACTGACATTGTCACATTGGTGGGTGGGAAAGTAGTTTTGCATCATATGGCCCTCGAGACTGGGATGAATGGCAGAGATTTTTTTTTTTTTTCCTTAAACGCTTGCTTTGATGCTTTTTTTTTTTTTTTTTCCAATTAAAAAAATGGGTCATATGAGTAGGGCGTGGTGGTGGTAGGAATGGTGGTGAGGATGGTGGTACAAATGGTTCTTAAATGTAGCTAGACATGCTTTCTTTTGCTTTGATTGAACTGATGCTTCCTGACTCTGGAAAATGTTTAATTTATTACTCTAATATGAAAAAGATTACATAAAATGTGAGAGAATGGTTAAAGGAGAAACATGTGCTTTTGAAAAGTGAATTCACTATTCTTAAAGGTCTTGGAAGCATCCAGGAAGTTAGGCACTGATCTGAGTATAGGAAATGTGGTTTGTCTTTGTAATCAACATAATACATTTGAATGGGGATGATCACGGTAGCCTTTTAATTTTTTATTGTGACTGAAGTTGTAAGCTGTGAGCAGTGGCTGAGGTTCCTCAGCAGGATCGCACACTCCCTGTCCCTTCTCTGTGAAGTCCTTCTCACACAGGCCTATGATGAGAGTAGGGGACAAGTTCTTCTGACAATCTCCCCTCTATCTCTCTCTTTCTTTGTCAGACCGAAGAAGTTGAGACGTTACTATTAGAATGGGAAATTATTTCATGTTGAGAGATAATGTTGAAGAAGTTATTATGAAAATCAAGAGTTAGCTTGCATAGCTAGTGTTTCATTTTGTTTTTTTAATGAGTAGAGAATAGGTAGAGATAAAAGAGAAATTATTTAAATTACAACAACTAGAAAACTTTAACATTGTTTTCAAAGTTTGACAAAAAATCCTGAAATTAGGAAGTATGAGCAAAACAGAGGATTATTCAGTTTAAGTGCTACTATGAAGGTCCATCTATATCAGTATAAAATAGTCACTTAAAATTCGTAATTTAAGAAAGTTATATTTTTAAATTAATTTGAAAGTTTCTATACTTTTAAAAAACATTTTTTGATTAAAGATTAAAATCAGAACTAAAAAAAAATAAAAGTTGTTCCTATTTTCAAAGGATTGGTTTTCTAGCTCAAGTACCAACTATTCCTCTATAACACTCTACGAGTAATTAATTATGAGGCTGATCATAATAATGACTATCATTTATTGACTGTTTGCTATAAGCCAGGGCAGGCAAACTATGACCCATGGGTCAAATCTTGTCTTACAGGAACACAGCCATGCTCATTGTTTATTTTGAATAGAGTTGAATAGTTGCAGCAGAGATTGTGTGGCCCTGCAAAGCCTAAAATATTTACCATCTGGCCTTTTACTGAAAAAGTTTGCCAATTCTTTATTTAAAACAAGCACTATTTCTTCACGTAGATTGTGCCATTCAATCATTACAACATCCCTAGAAGTCAGTTTCTTATCCTTCCTCTATAGATAATAAAATTGAGTCTTAAAGATGTTCAGTGACTAGCTCAAGATAGCCAGCTAAGTGCAGGAGTCTGGCCTTGAATCCATGATGTCTGATTGCAGAGCCCACACTTCCCTTCTGTGTCCAGTTTCTTTGTCATTAGCCTTCAGAGAGGTAGCATATTCTGGTGGTTAAAGGTATGGACGACTCTGAAGTCAGATGTCTTGAATTCAAATGATCTTGGGCAACAAATGACTTAACTCTTTATGCCACAGAATATAAATGTTGGCAGACATTACTATCATGAACTTCTTGTTTTGTAGATGAGATTCTAAATCTCCAGAATTGCTCTTAAGCTTTCCAAAGACCTGACTTTACAAATGACTGTTGCGTAACTCGCGCTAGGTAGATAACACATATTTCAGAGGGCTGATGGCTTTTGAAAAGTAAAATTGTCAGTTGAATGCTCATTTTTTTTTCCCCTTTCAATTATCAGGTCCTTCATAGACAGCAGTCTCAGCCAGCCAAGGAGAGTTCCCCTCCCAGAGAAGAAGCGCCTCCCCCACCTCCTCCAACTGAAGACAGTTGTGCCAAAAAGCCGCGGTCTCGCACAAAGATCTCCTTGGAAGCCCTGGGGATCCTGCAAAGCTTTATTCATGATGTAGGCCTGTACCCCGACCAGGAAGCCATCCATACTCTTTCGGCCCAGCTGGATCTGCCCAAACACACCATCATCAAGTTCTTCCAGAACCAGCGGTACCACGTGAAGCACCACGGGAAGCTGAAGGAGCACCTGGGCTCTGCGGTGGACGTGGCCGAGTATAAGGACGAGGAGCTGCTGACAGAGTCGGAGGAGAACGACAGCGAGGAAGGCACCGAGGAGATGTACAAAGTGGAGGCCGAGGAGGAAAACGCCGACAAGAGCAAGGCGGCGCCTGCAGAAGTTGACCAGAGATAATGTGAACTCCCACCAGGCAAAGCAATACATTGGTCCAAGGATTTTCTGTTTTAGTTTCCTTGACAAAGTTTTTTTTTGCTTTATTTTATTTTTGTCTTTTTTATGTCTATTTGTTTTGGTTTTTTCTTACCCTTTTTGACATTTCTTTGTTGCACAGGATATCCCTACAGACTAAGTTCAGTATTTCTGAATCAGACATAGCCTTGGCAAAGACACTAAAGTGTTACACTTTTACAATTGACTGGATCATAGTGATTATAATCACAGGAGACTCCGCCTTCATTATCCTTGCACTTAACAGAAGTTACATCAGGCAAGTTTCAGGATAAAAAGACCTACGAAATAAATGAAGGAAGCTACAAGTGTGTGTATATGTATATGTATATATCTCTATATTTACATATATATATTAAATTTGCATGGGACAGAGAACTTTACAATCCAAAAGAATAGACTGTGAAATGAGTTCTTAAAGAAAAGACTTGTTTATGTATTAAAAAACCACTTCACAGTGAGTGAGTCGCTTTGGCTTTTTGATAAACTGTGGCCTGCTCTCAGGGTGGGGTGACTATTTTTGAATTCCTATTTATTTTCTGTGTTTGTCCCTGATTTTTTTTCTTTATTTTAATTCTATGGCTTCCTATCTGGCAGCTTAATGGGTAATTTTTGAGGTATGTATTTAACAAAATAAATCGACACTGCCAAAAAAGAAAGAAAGAGAGAGAGAGAAAGAAAGGAGGAAAGTGAAAAAAATCAGGGCACATTTAAATGGTACAAGTCAAATTACTCTTAAAGACACAATGCACACTTAAAATGACTCAATAAAATGACTCGATGTTCCATTATTGAATTTGTCATTACTGTAGTGAACAGATCCATTTCTGTGGAATTCCAAATAAGTAAAACTGAAATTCAGTGCAGAGAAAACTTGTCCATTAGTACAGTCTTGATAAAATGACATTTTGATGTTGTATATGTGGAATTCATAGTATGAGCCACATTTTTTTGTGAATTTATTTACCTGCTTGTGGCTTCACATCTTAAAATTGATAAGCCTGCTCATTTAAAAGTTTGCTGTTGCTGTTTTTTTTTTTTTTTTTTTAATAGAAAATAATGTAAAGTTAGAAAAGAAGTTGCTGCCCAGTTAAAGGGGCTCCCTCTCAAATAAATCTCCATTCTTCCCTCTCCCAAAAGACATTTCTTATTTCTATTTCACTTTGGGCTTCCTCATCTTCGTACACATTCCATCCCTATAACCAAACATTTTCAGTCCCTGATTTCACAGGCTTCTATCCCTTTCCCAGGTATGGCAGCCCTAACAAGAACCTGTTTTTGAATCATTGTGCAGCTCCAGGCAATAGAGTAAGTGAACCGATTTCAGTAGAATCACCTACTGGTCATAAAAGGAAACATTGTTGCATTTACATACATAGCAATTACCTTACCTAAAGCAGAACTGATGCCAACTGGATATTTAATGGAATGAGCATTAAAGCTGCAATCTACTATAGTTCTCCAAATTTTCAACTTCCTATCAGAAACACCGGTAGCATTACTTTCCACTTCTACCTATAGTAATTGCAAGAGGAGACCTCACCTTCTGGACTGGCCTAGTGAACCTAATCCATGCTTTAAAATGGCCGTTAAACAGTCCCACATGGTTGGATTTTTTTTTTTTTTTTTGAGTCGTGCTCTTATGCAACCTTGTCAAAGACCTCATGCAATATCACTTTGAAAGTTGTTTTCTGTTTACTACATAAACATTGTAATATAACTGTTAATACTATTTATATATTTGAAAGGTATAAAAGGTAGGAGTTAAAAAAACACCTCTATGTGTAGATATTAACTCAGAACTTACAATATACAGGGAGAAGACATGTTGCAATACAAGCTAATTCTAGCTGCTCAGTAACCTCTGGAGTTTTTAAAGGGACATTTTCCTGTACTTTTTCAAGTAAGATGTTTAAAAAATTATCTTGACATGAGTGTCATATACCTTTGCAAAAGGATGGTTGTTTGCAGTTAAGCCCTGGGCCCATCCTTCCTTTTTCTGTAGTATGCTGCAGCTTTAATCAGAAAGTCCATGGTTGCTGCTTCCTGATCTCCGAGTTACTCTTTCCAAATTGTCTTCTTACACTGTTGCTGAAGGTCACTCTGTACATGTAATGGAAATTGATTTTGCCAAGCTCTTACAAGGTGGTTCACCTATTGATGGCATCCGCATTTGGTATCTTTTACACTTCAACCAAAAATTTATTAGGTATTTTTCAATGCTAAGTCTTGCCTTTTATTTTTTAATTTCACTGCCAAGTTTGCAGTGGTTCTAAGTGAATCTGTGGGCATTTTAGCCTGTGGTCTTGCCAGATCTTTGCGAATTACAATGCATATATGTCTATTTATTCAATATCTGTCATATAATATCTATTTGGAAGAAGAAACTTTCTCTTGTAGTGCCTCTTGACAAAGCACAATTTCCTGCCTTTTTTTTTTTTTTTTTTTTGTGAAATGAAAAAAACAAATTGTGTTTTATTGCGGTATCAACAATGTGAATAAGGATTAACATATTGTAAATGTTCTTTTTTCCATGTAAATCAAATATCTTTGTTATCACTAAGTGATAATTAATTTTTAACTTATGTGCATTGTTAGGCTGTTAGAATTTTTTGGTTGTTAAAATAAAGCGCATTCAATAAATATGACTTCATTTGTCAAGTATTTTACTGGGCATTGCCTTCTTTCCCATTTAATATTTCATGCAGAGTGAGACCTTGTGAGTCTAAGGAAAATCCGTACCCTTATTTTAGAAACAAGACAGGGGTACCCACAAGTACATATGTTTGAGTCCTGTCCAATGCATAGATCTAATTGCACATGTGAATGTATGTGTGTCTATGTGTGTATGTAAACACACACACACACACACATCTTGGTGCTGGCAACTGGGAGAGTCATTTATCCACTCATTTTGTCAATATACAAACAGAACTTAAATGTATAAAGTTATATTTATGGGCTTACTTTATTTTTCTAGTGAATATTTTCTGTTTATAATTAAAAAACCACAAATGACTGCGTGTCAGGAAACTTTTGGAGCACATATGTCCATGGTTAATGGACACAATAAAAGTCTTTTATATTTAGAGCTGGGGTACCATAATGTGTGCGTAGAGGAATGCCGAAAGGATTGATGTATCTGAGAAATGTGTGAAAATGATTTTTTAGAAAGTGATTACAATGGAAAAAATTGCTCAAAAGGCTAAAGTTAATAAGAGCGAGTGCTTAGCTTCAGAACTGGCAGAGATAAAGTAAATTTAAAGTGATTTTGTTTTATTTTGATATTGCAAATGTTTTTCCCATTTTTTTTCTTTTTTCATTTGTCTGCATTTGGTTGACATACAGATATAACTTGCCTCTCTTCCTCAATTTCACTTGCCTTTTTTCCCATAATAATTAATAGCCTACGGTGGACCGTGTAGGTATGTTTTAAGGACAGGTGATGGAAAGTAGGTGTTTGCAGAGAGCCAGACAGCTGCAAAGCACAGAGTGCTGAAGGTTTTAAGGAGCAACTAGAGGCTCAACAAGGGTGAAACATGTTATTTTTGCAAATATAAATGAATTCTGCCTTTGGGATAAAGACCAGGAAGAAAAAGCATTTGTGAGTTAATTTGACTTTTAGCACAAACAGCTTCCACATTCATGAGGGGGTGTTTTTAGGGGTCAAACTTCATCAGAGGTAACAACTCAGAAGTGGGAGGCTCTACCCACAGATGGATTGGCTTCTGCCTAAAAGGTGATTTCTGTGCTGGTGATTTCTATTCGTAAGAAAGCAAAGTAAGAAATTTCTTGAGTGTACAGAAAGTCGTATTATGTGATTTCAGAGCCATTATTTCATGGGCTGAGTTTCATCTCTCCCCCCCGCCCCAGGACATATTTTTCTTTACACTGTTATTTCCTTTTCCGAAGAGTTTTAAATAAAGATTAAAAATTCTTCACATTCTTTCTTTTTTTTTTTTTTTCCTTTTTTTGTCTTTTTTCGTGTCCGGCAACGGATCGCAACCCTCGGTGTTGTGCCCGTACCGGACCGGGACCGGCAACGAGATCGCAACCCTCGGTGCTGCACCCGCACCTCGCTCAGCCAGTGAGTGGGAACCGGTCTGTATGTGGGATCCGAACCCTCGGCGGGAGCGCCTCCGCACTCCCAAGCGGCGCACTGTAGCAGTGCACCACCGGGCCAGCCCCTTCACATTATTTCTAAAGGGCAGTCAAGCCATCAGTGAACATTTATTAAACGTGTACTCTGTGGCAGACAGTTGGCTAGAAATTGCAGTGACAAAGAAAAATATGACTTAGTGCTCGCCCCTCAAAGAGCCTGTAACTTATTGTAAAGGCACAATATAAAGCCAGGAAAAGTGAAATAGTTATACAAATGTCGTCTTCAGACAGAGATTTACCTGTTTAATGGGTGGTACAAATACATGCCCTGAATTAAGAGAAGGAAATAATTGTGAACTAGAATGGTCTTGGAAGGTGGATCATTTATGATTAGGTTTAGCTACATATAATAGCAAAAAATAGCACAAGGTAATAATGACCCAAAGTAAGAGTTTATCTGTTTCTTACATAAAATAAATTGCTGAGCTAAGCTGGCTTTGTGAAGGTGTCAGAGACAACACTTCTTCAAGCTTCCAGCTCCACTTTTCCCTGTGTTGATTCTTGTGTTCCCTCTTCTTCATGGTCTAAGATGACACCAGAACGGAAAAAGGAGTAAAAAAATGACATACTCTCTTCCTTTTATGGAGACTTCTTCAAGTCCTATACCCGAATGCAAGGAAAGCAAATAAATGTTTTTAGCTGCCCCATTAATTCCAAAGAAGGGGGGAAGGTGTATTATTGGAAGGCAGCTAACAGCCTGTGCCACAGAAGGCATCAAAGGAGCATGTTGAAAACAACAAGATAAGAAGAGGGCAAGGGAAGAGGCACATTTGCCCTGCTGCAACTCCCGGTATTTGGTACTTTGTGCCTTTTTCTCCTCCCCACCGTGAGTTCATTCTTGGCTAACTTTAAGGATCAGTTCAAGCATCACTTCATCCAGTATGCCTTTCCTGATCTACTCTGACAGTGCCTTACAATCCTTTTATATTCATGTAGCTCCTGAGGTATTCCCAGAACTTGTAGCATGTTGTTACTATGTTAAATATCTATTCTGCATGAGCCCTTAAAAACTGCAGCCAAATCTCAGTCATTGGGTTTCCCAGCACCTAGGACAGTGCCTAATACGTAGTCAACACTGAAAAATACACTTTTTGATTGAATTATTTTTTATTAAATATGTGAAAAGACAGCATATTCAGAAACTTAGAGAAGTAGAAGGCATACTGTAGCATGGTTAGCAGACCAACGGTGACTCTGGAGGAGGAGGAAAAAGAAATCTAACATTGATGGAGCCTCTCCCAGGTCCATTATCCCTTCTCGCCTTCACAACCACTCCTTGGAAGCATTCTCATACTCAGTTAACAGGGGAGAAAGGATCTTGGCCTAACTCTAGATCCCAAAATGGGTAAATGTTCTTTTTCACATGTCATTTATTCAAGACACACGCTTTAGTGTTCACGTAATCTTTTATGATTTTTAGATCTTTCCAAATACCGAAAACTGGGAAACTGATTAAAATGATGCAATCAAGATGACAAATTTAGATTGAAGTTAAGGGTGTTCATCCAAGTTCTCATAACGTTCTTTACATACTTATAAAATAAAGCACAAACATTCAAACCTATTCCTAAAATGATCCATCTTCTGGGACCATTCTAGCTCACAGGTAACTGTTGCTTCCTCCTCTGAATTCGTAGCACTTGTCTGTACCACCCACTGAACAAATAGAGGACTGTTTGGAGACAGCTCTTGTGTGGCTATTTCACACCTCCTGGGTTACTATGATGGATTTTGGTAACTAAACTTGGCAGATGATATTAATAAGAAAAGCCCTGAACTTCGAAGGGAGTTTGAATCCAGAATATTTGGGTCCTAATGGTGGCTCCATCATTTCCTGGTTGTGTAATGTTGGGTGGATTACATCTTTGAGCCTGATATTCCTCATCTAAAAACTGGGGATAATCAATACCTGTCTAGAAATTCTCACAGGGTTATGGAGAATCCAATGATGTGAAGATCTTTGAAAACCGTAAAGCCTATGAAAATGTTACATGGTTGTCACCAGAAATTGCCAAATAGTGATCTAACATTCATTTTCATGAATTCCATTTTTTAGCTTTCAGGAATCCTGATGAAATGAAGCAACATTTAAGCTTTTATATAGTTATCACAGACATTTAATTAAGCTTCATGGTATAACAGTAGGAATGCCGTGATCAACTCAAATATCTATTCAACAAATACGTTTATTAAGTACCAACAGTGGTCTTGATTTTCAGTACAGAATCAAAACAGTTTTGAATATGTTTGGGCTGATTAGTATATAAGATTTTTGTTTTCTGTTACCCTAGAGGATATCAGTTCAAGGATCCCTAAGAGTGATGCTAAATACATTAATTTGTGTTTGAAATGCTTATCATTAAAAGTGAGCATATGTGAAGTGGGTACATTTTGCCTTATTTCTAGATTCCACTCATATTTCCAAAGTGGATAGAGAAGGATAAATTCTAGGAGCAGCATCAGAGGTAATTAAGAAATATTTGAGTAACAGTTCAGCAGGGATGAGGGTGTGGAGGGGGAACTATTTAAAGGGTGGTGGGAAGGCATGAAATCTTTGCATCTGGCCTTGCAGAGGATAGCAATGGGCATTTGGAGGTGATTCAGGGCCCTGTAGTGATAGATGTGACAATGTTTCCTCTGGGTGAGCATGTTCAGGACTACCATATTGAGTCAGAGGCAGAAACAAAGAATCAAAGGCACTATGAGGGACAGGTGATTTGGAACCCTGCAAATTCAATCTTGCTAGGAAATAATAGAGTTAGGATCTAAAACCAGGTGTGCATGACTCTGAAGCTTGCATTTTCTCCCCAGTTTCACACCACCTCTCTTTTTGCATCCTAGAATGTCCTGGAAAGGCTGTAGGAACTGAGCATCAATTTAGTGGACAGCATATTTTGTATGGGGTGACTATTTGGGTTCTCTTAACACACTTTTTCATCATCTTGTCCAACTATGACATTTCTGATGGAGTTTTGTCCTAAAGGAAAAACCTATTTTTAAAAAACCTCATGCTCTGCTAGTATAACTGTCCCAGAAGAATCTAGAAGTAGTTTCTTCGGTGACATTTTAAAAGGTTTAAAGTGTTACCTTCACATATGGAGAAATAATTACAAAAATATTTCATTAGCACTATAATAAATAGTGCAGAGCAATGATTAATTAAAAAGATAAGTATAATTTATTCACTATCCGTTAACAAGAACAATCCCATTTAAACACAACATAGCACAGACTAAGGAAGTCCTGGGAGACTCAGTAGCAACTTTGGACTGAGCAGTCCTAGGAACCCACCCTTCAAGAAAAGGTAAGGAAAAAAAATTCTTTAAACTTTTAATGTCTCAAGTTGATTGTGTGAAGAGGCAGTTAGTCATCCCAGTATCTATTTCTGACTAATTTTGTAGCTTGAGTAGTTATTTTTCAGATTCCTGGTTTCCTTGTCCATAAATAGGGCTGATCATTTATATATATATCAAAATTGTTGTCATGATTAAATAACTATGTAG